TAATAAAAGTAAAGTTCAAATAAATATAATATAAATACATCTATTATTTTATTTAATTAATAATACTAAATTTAATAAAAAATATGTATTATTTCATTCAAAGTGTAACTACTTCCCAATGTACTAACCAGCATTTATGGTAAACTAAAATATATTTTAATGTCATTTTTATTGAAACTTGTTTGTCATGTATTTTTAAATGTATTTGTATTTGCGCATTTGTAATGAAAAAAAATTATACATTTAAAAAACTAACTTTAAATGTAATATCTAATAACAGTAGGCTACTTTGCATGTGCTTTAGTATGCTAGATACCAAAACATCAAAATAAATGTACCTCTTTAAAGCATGGCAAAATATTAAAACTAGGGCTGTCAGTTTAACGTTTTAACTTAATTAGTTATGAAAAAATAACGTGATTAAAATATTTTAACGCAGGTATCGCACTGGCCCCGCCCCCAGACCTATACGTCATCTTACAGTCCATACGGTTGACTGTTGACAAATATGATGCAGGGCAACAACTCCACAAATGCAGGTATGCCCTAAAATTCAAGATATTGGGGCAAAAAATGCCCCTGTAGGAGTCTCATATTTATAACATATGATAAGTGATATCACACAGCAGCGAGAACACGAGTGCTGATTTTGTCACGAAAAGCACGAGTGCAAATGTGATTAACAGTTTAGTAAATAACTTAAACTTAAAAAAAAAATAAAAAATTTGTCTTTCACATTATATATATATATATAAGTGAATAATAAAAGTAAAGTTCAAATAAATATAATATAAATACATCTATTATTTTATTTAATTAATAATACTAAATTTAATAAAAAATATGTATTATTTCATTCAAAGTGTAACTACTTCCCAATGTACTAACCAGCATTTATGGTAAACTAAAATATATTTTAATGTCATTTTTATTGAAACTTGTTTGTCATGTATTTTTAAATGTATTTGTATTTGCGCATTTGTAATGAAAAAAAATTATACATTTAAAAAACTAACTTTAAATGTAATATCTAATAACAGTAGGCTACTTTGCATGTGCTTTAGTATGCTAGATACCAAAACATCAAAATAAATGTACCTCTTTAAAGCATGGCAAAATATTAAAACTAGGGCTGTCAGTTTAACGTTTTAACTTAATTAGTTATGAAAAAATAACGTGATTAAAATATTTTAACGCAGGTATCGCACTGGCCCCGCCCCCAGACCTATACGTCATCTTACAGTCCATACGGTTGACTGTTGACAAATATGATGCAGGGCAACAACTCCACAAATGCAGGTATGCCCTAAAATTCAAGATATTGGGGCAAAAAATGCCCCTGTAGGAGTCTCATATTTATAACATATGATAAGTGATATCACACAGCAGCGAGAACACGAGTGCTGATTTTGTCACGAAAAGCACGAGTGCAAATGTGATTAACAGTTTAGTAAATAACTTAAAAAAAAAAAAAACAATTTGTCTTTCTCTATTTATTCCTTCCCTTTCTAGCTTGTACTTATTTGAACAATGCCTAAAACTTGGTATTACAAGCACTTCCTGTGTCTGTTTGCCTCTTTAAGAAGAATCGCTTTATGTATTCCCCAATTGTAAGTCGCTTTGGATAAAAACGTCTGCAAAATGACTAAATGTAAATGTAAATAAGACTTTAATATTGCGTTATATTTTAAACACAATATTGTGTGTTTTTGCTCAGTTTTGCCAACGAAAATATTACCTATAAGGCCACTTCAAAACTGTTCTGCGTCTGTGAACAATAGCGGTGTTTAGTTTCTGAATGAATCCTCTTTTTGAACGAATCGTGTGAACCAATGATTCAATGGCCCATTCATAGAGAGAGCTGTTTACTTCATTCCTGAATGAATCAGCCGTTTGAACGAATCGAATGAATGAATGAATGACTCAAAGACATTTACCGCCACCTGCTGACAGTTTTAGTTTCTTCTTTAGAGTATAATTTCATTTGGGCTATAAAAAAATAAAAAAATAAATAACATTAAAGGGATAGTTCACCGATTTTATTTATTTATTTATTTTTTAATCTGTCATCATTTACTTACCCTCATGTTGTTTCAAACCTGAATGACTTACTTTCTTTTGCGCAACATAAAAGAAGGTATTTTGAAGACTGTTGGTAACAAAGCTGTTTTGGTTACCAGTGACTTTCATTGCATGAGCAAAAAATACTGAGATGCTTCTCAAATGATCTTCTTTTATGTTCCATAGTTTACGTTAGGCTGTTGTAGCCTAAACATTTGTGTAATAAATTTTATGTTGAATCAAAAAAAAAAAATTCTTTCTAAAGCTACTATTTGTAATGTCTACTTGCTACTTTCTCATTTAACACAATAATAGCTTTAAATAATCTTTTGTGGGTATTTTCACAGCCAAATTTAGTTTGCGATTAATATGATTAATTAATCGCAGCACCATGTAATTAATTAGATTAAAAATATTAATCGACTGACAGCCCTAATTAAAACATTATGTAATATGTTCTTTAAAGTCTTAAGTGTACTTATATGTGTTAAGAAACAAAGTCATGAATCTGTATTCCAAGTACACTTATGTAGCCTTTTATTTCATCAATATGATATTATCTGCAAGTACAGTTTTAAAAGTTGTAACGCACCAGTTGAATGAATGACTCCGAATCAGAGTGGTTTTAAATGTAGGCCTATAGTTTTAAAGTGTCCCTATTATGCCCTTTTTAAGGTTGCTAATATTGTTTTATGAGTCTCCTAAAACAGGTTTACATGCATGCAAGGTCAAAAAACACGTTCGTTTTCTAAAAAAAAAAAAAGATTTAATTTGACCTCATTTCTAAATGATTCGTAAACGACTCGTGCGAAGCAGTTCAAAGAATCAGTCTCTCTAAACCCCTCCTTTCCGTGAGCCCTCACTGCTGTGATTGGTCAGATGGCGCAGTCCTTTGTGATTGGTCCAGAGCCGTAGAGAGATTGGCTCTGGATTGGTCTACCGCGTTCAGCGCGTGTCGGAAACGAAACGCCCATTGCCATGACGGAATGACAGCCCTGGAGACTTGTCAATACATAGAAAAGATGGTATCGATTGTACCTTACCAATTCGAGTCAGAGTCTGATGATGAAAAAGTTGAACTGGCTGATAGACAAGAGACTGATTCGCAAGCACGACTGGAGCAGGACATTTCTCAGTGGTAAGTGTCAAGTGTTAACAAGTTTGTGGTAATTATAAGATGTGATAAAACAAATTTACTCTCTCAGCGTAGGATACAGCGTCTTCTCGACATGATGTTTACCACACGGAAATGTTACTGTTTGTGGGCGGGCAAGTTGGCGATGTAGAACGTGGGCAGACATTATGCAAATGTGTTACTTCAGTGATGTAGAGCCATAACAGAATATCATTTGAATTCCTGACGACGCGTTTAGGCGATTGCCGACTTTTTTTATTTTGATAGACAATAACTTTATTTATCGTGCATTGTCGGCTTCGCAACTTTGCAGATAGTTTATGTTCACATACAGCTACATGACAAGGTAATATTCGAAAAGGCATAATAGGGGCACTTTAAGGAATACATGTTAAAACAGCTTGCCATACTCAAGACGCGTTTTTAAAACTATAACTAGACTACTTTTTCAGTTGACAATGTCATGTCAACAGTGCTCAGGGAGCCAGTTGCTAAAAAACAGCGAGACGCGACGCAATGTCCACAGACGTCCATCTGACGCCGGTGAATAGAGACAGAAATAGCTATTACAAAATAGCCAGAACGCCCCCTAACAGGTTACAGGCGTTACACTGGAACTATTCTGACACAGCCCATAAACTAATAAGGAGAAGCGAAATAAAGTGAGAACAATCTCTTTCAATCGAGATGGCATTGAGATCTAGACCATCTACTATCACAGGATGTCATACAAAACCCAGTGAACCGCCTACACAGACAGCAATATTGAGCATCTTAGGCGCGTCCATGCTGTCTAGCTAGAGAGCTCGCTAGTTTTTGAGACACGGTGGCGTGTGGAAGTGTTATACAGATAATTGCTGATGCAGTTCACGGATTCACACGTACTTTGGCCCTGCTGCTTCACAGCAACGCTGAGACCTAAACGGAGCTGTATCTGGTACCTTTAAAACGCGTATTCCCGTTCCCGCTCGGGCTGTCGGTGCTTCATGCAGCACCGGGATCAGCGGCGCTCCGCTGCCCACCTGGCCATCCTCCACATCGGCTGCATTTCTCCGCTCCGTGTCGGCGCTCTGGAGCGACCGCACTGTGCTTTTCTCGTCCTTCATTTCGCCTACATTTGACGCCTTTCAGCACAGAAATCCAGATGTAAGATACCAGTCGGCGACAGATAAATTCCAGTACAGAAGGCTGTAGAAAAAGACCATCCTGATTTGATGAGACGCCATAGTGGGACTGAAGCGCACGGCTGTCAAATAAACTCAATCAATAAACATAAGGGGGCGGCGCTAATTATTATTCATAAAACACCGTCCATTCCTGCACTTCCGCTGCTGAATTATTCATGAGAATATTTAAACCTGGGGCCAGTTGTTCAAAAGTAATCTGATCGGATTTTGGCCATCGGATTGGATCAAATCTTGAAAATGGTTTGTTCAAAAGAAAAAAAGAAAAATATTCTGAATTCGGATTTGATCACGAAATCCAATCTTGGTTTTGATCTGGATTAAATCCTCAGTTTGTGTTGTTCAAAACGTTTTAGTAAAATTGGGAAACTTAAAAAAAAACAAAAAACAGATGGATTATTCTGATCCCAGTAGAAGGGTAGATTTCAGGAACAAAACTGGTCCAAAAAATACAACATTTGTAACATGTAATATATCCCCAAATCCCCAAACAGCTGTCAATATCAAACAAAAATATATTTAAAGTTTTGTTTTTTTTAATCACTGATTGTAAACTACATCAATCATCAGAGATGGGCCAGTCAGAATTGTGTAAATGCAATGCAAAACCAGATTCAACTTTTTGAACAACTTGCCCCTGGTGATTTGACATTTTTTTAATCACACATTTCATTTAGTATTCAACACAGGTTGAACATTTACTGAGTACGCAGCTCTCCAGAAGAGGCAAAAAATCGACCATTTTCTTTTAGTTTATCAATGTCCATTTCTTTCCTATTGTAAGGGTTTCTGATAAACGACACTTCCTCCATCAATCTGTACTGCTGAACATCAGGTCTGTAAATCTAGAGAGATTTGGAGTCATTCACTCTTATCAAGAATCACTGACCTCTGTCACTCAAACTGGAATGATTAGCTCTTCTTGTGCAATGTGTTTTGAAGCAGTTAAACTGTAAACTGAACATACATTTTGTAGCACGCTATAAATCACAGGCATATTGAGATAAAGTTGACGTTTTAGCAAATATAAAGCATAAAGTCTCTGACTGTAAACATGTCAAACACATTAGGAAGAGGAGGAAGAAATGAGGACTTAACAGTCTGACAACAAATGACATAAAACAAATTATGAATTCATAGCTGTTTTCTCAGCTGTAAACACTTTTCTATTCCAAGCACTGACGTCTATTTTTGTTACATGACAGTCACATTAAAGCTATCTAAACCTGTCAAAAATGGTCTTGGGAACAATTCAATCGTTTAATATGAAAAAATCATATAGAAGTGTTATTTAATCTGTAAGACATATATTATTACTTTTGTTTTTTTGTAGTGTCATTTCCACCACAACCAGCAATTTTCCCACTAACTAAACTTTATCAAATTTTAGAGCTTTAGATGACATATGAGACATCATGTGTGGAAAAAAAACAAAAAAAACAATGTAATATAATTTCATACCCACATGTTGGACATTGCTACACCCTTAAAAATAAAGGTTATTTTTTTGCCATTGTTTCTATAAAGAATCTTTAATGTCCATGGAACCTCTCCAATGGACAAAAGATTCTTTATAGTGGACAAAGGCTCTTTAAATTTTTTTAAATGTTCACACTAAAAAAAAAAAAAGGTTCTTTTAAGAATTTTTTACTGAAAATGGTTCTTCCATGGCATCACTGCTAAAAACTCAATTTTGGAACCATTATTTTTAAGTGTAGTGGACAAATTTAGTTGTTAGTTGACGAAACACCTTAAAGGGATAGTTCACCCAAAAAATGAAAATTCTGTCATTAAGCAGCTAGTTAATGAAATCCAAGTAAAAAAATGCAGACCCTGTTGTATTTTCTTGTAATTTATTAAAAGAAGGTGCACCGCCATCTTGTGCCGACTAAACTGACTTGAACCTGACGTCGTAATTACGACTTGTCAACTTGTAAGTACGAACGTCCCAGGAGGACTTGAACTCAGCAAGAGAGCCCTCATATTTCATCAAAAATATCTTAAATTGTGTTCCGAAGATGAACGAAGGTCTTACGGGTTTGGAACAACACGAGGGTGAGTAATTACTGACAGAATTTTCATTTTTGGGTGAACTAACCCTTTAAGTACAAATGAGATGGAGACAGACATGTGATCATGTCATAACTGCAATATAAAATTTTGCAATCAATGATAGAACATTTCCTGATCTCATCCTTGCAGATAAAGAATGTCTTCACTGTGGTGTCAAAGACAATTTTATTAACTTTCACAATCTGTTTGAGGCCCGAGAGACCTTAGTAGTTTAAAACTACAATCAGGTTTTATTCATACTCTGATCAGACCCATGATATAAAACATGAATAAATGCAATTATCATCATTATACTGTGGTCGCCAGAAGCGACAGTTTAAAGTTAAATGCCTTGATGGATTTGTTTCTTACAGACACGCAGCTTTTTACTTCGCAAGACATTAATTGTTGGACTGGAGTGGTGTGGAGAGTATATTTTCAGCAAATATTCATTTTAGATTGAACTATTCCTTTAAACCTTTCGATAATTACTGTCTGATGGGTTTTGATTTGACATTTAAAAAAAATGTAAAGGGGAAAATAACAGGTTGATTTAGTTTTTTTACAAATACAACACTGGAGTCAACGGAACAGAACAGAGGGTTAAGATGAAAAGTAATAGAATATTTCAGTAATTCAGACATTGGCTTCTATGCCATTGCAGTTTCAAAGATAAACACAAGAGGGTGACAGCAGACTACAGTGTCCACTGAAATAAAACTCATTCTGGATCATTCAGAACAGTTTCCCAGATTCTGTTCAGTTATAAATGAAAAAAAAACAAACTGTTATTTCCAAAACACAACACAACAAACATCAAGTTTGACAGTTTTTATTTCGTTTGATCATTTTCTCCAACCCAAAGACAATAACACACAGCATAAATCTAAAATATCCCATTTCATTTTCATCCATCATCATGAACTCAGTCCAGCACTCGTTCCTCGAGGACATGGGACTGCGATTCAGTTCAGCATGTCAGACTCATTGGGCTCGTCCTCCCCTCCTGCACAAGTTCAGATGTGTTGAACAGCAAGTGTAAAATATCTGAGATGGGGGCACATGTATAGATACACTCAAAAAACAACCGATACCTTTACAGATTACAAAGGGATTCTGATGGAGAAGGCAATCGTCCAATCATGTGATACAAAGTCCACCTGGTCAAGCAGTTACACCCAGTCCCCCTGACTGACCGAAAGAAAATCTGCTTCTCAATGAAGAATCAACAATATATTTCCAAATGTACAAAGGTCTGTGCATGTATCGCAAGATATAGTGAATAGTGGTGACTTGAGAATTCGAACTTAGCTTGCATTACTTCAGAATGTTTACATAAAGAGTAGAAATGACAATATTTACATGATTTTTTTTTTCAGCCGCATGTGAAAAAGCAATCGCTTGGTTGGGAAACCTGCTGAGAGATTCGGCAAGTTCACAGATGGTTGTTTTGAGCTCTTCAACGCGCAAAGGTCTTAGTGTAAAAAGCTGCAGATTCAGAAAGAGGCATCGAAACATTCAGGGACGAGACCGTTCTCTCACACCAGGGATATTTCACTTTTCCCGACAGCATTTTATATGAAGTTTTGCCTCAACTCCAAGTGCTTCCCAAAAAAAAAAAAAAAGACAGTTTGGGAATATGCATGAGCCTAAACTGCATGGAAATATCAGTAGAGGTGGTTTATGGGAAAACTGTAACTATAAACTTTGGTTTTTAAGCTTTCCTCAATGTAGCAATGTTACTATAAAGGGGTCTGAAGATACACTCTTAAAAATAAAGATGCTTCAAAAGGTTCTTCACAGCGATGCCATAGATAGAACCACCATTTTTGGTTCCACAAAGAACCATTTAGTCAAAGGTTCTTTAAAGAATCATCTCTTTCTTATCTTTTTATAATCTGAAGAACCTTCTTTCGCCATTTTTTGTGAAACAAAGTTTCTTCAGATGTTAAAGGTTCTTTATGGAACTATTTAGACAAAAAAGGTTCTTCTATGGTATCATGAAGCACCTTTATTTTTTAGAGTGTAGTTCATGTCAAACCTGTAGGACTTTCGTCTGTGGAACACAAATGATATTGAAACGTCTCCATATAATGGAAATCAATGGAGTCTAGTCTGGATTTGGACAGTTCACACATTCTTCAAAATATATTCTTTTGTGTTCCACAGAAGTAAGTCATTCATACAGGTTTGGAGTGACATGAGAGTGAGTAAATGAGTTTTATTTATCTTTAAATTGCATTATGTAAAACTGGGAGTACTTAAGGGGGATCAGCTGCAGGCCATCAAATTGAAAGGAAAAATTATATCTGTGTCCATAAGCAGCATTTAATTTTTTCAGTAGTACATGACTGCGATCCACCGCACATCTAGTCAAAACAAAGCCAACTGAAGATCATGTGCACATTATTACACCCCTAACTGAATGTCATAGGTCTTCAAATGGGATTTTTATTTGATTTGATCGGTTTGATGCGTTTTACAATTATATACAATATACAGGCAGCACATAGTACATTTTCTTTCCAACAAACAATCAATCAAACAGGTAAGTTGTTAAATTAGACTATTTTCTGAGAGAGAGCTTCAAACATTATACACTGTGCAGTACTGGAAGCAAGTCTTAGAAAACGGGATCTTAAAAAGGGATGAAAAGAAACCGCTGATGCATCTTAAAAGCCCTCAGTATGTACAGAAGAAGCCAAGAAATCGAAAGAATCGCCACAAAACACAAAGAGGCTAATAGAATGAGAAGTCTTTTTTTTTTCCTCCATATACATAACATTGCTAAAAAAAAATTCCCAAGCCCAAAGAACATCTCTTGATTTGGTTACCAGACTTCAGTGTGGCATAGCCAATGTAATTACACAAAGTGATGAAGGAAACAAAGAGCAGCGAGAGATGGCGTGAGGATACGGACGCGAAGAGAGCATTTCCACGACTTGATGAAACAATCATAGTGCTCTTCCGAGCCGACAAAGACAAAACAAGAAGACAATGTGAGGTA